TATAAAATATAATTGTGTAAAAGAAACAGAGAAAGGAAGAAAACTGTAAACCTTAGACACTCTAACATTGATTGCTATTTAAGTTCTCTTTTGGTTTTTGTTTGTGTCTTTTCAACAATTTTAATATTGTCAGTTAATTATGATCTCTCTGAGAGATTGAAATATTTTGTTACCTTAATTTTACATGCTTGACTTTTGTTTTTCAAGAAATAAAATGAAAGTGAAACTCTTTATTTGTTGTAATCTATGGTATTTATTTCGACTGACTGCTATTGTTTTAGATCACCATTTATGCTTGTAATTTGTTCAACATTTTACACTCACCCAAACATGCATTAAATCTGTAGACCACTTTTAAACACAGCAGCAGCTCACCGGTCTTAGACACCGCGACGATCTGTCCCCGTCGGGCAAGGAGGAGGCCGAGTGGCATTGTCATGTTAGTCGGGGAACACGATGAAGTTGGTAATAGGTGCTCACGAACACTTGGTGCTTGTCGTCCTCGCCCAGGATGGCGACGGGGGGCGCAGCGCCGGGCCGTGGCGGGGGTGAGGCCCCGGCTAGCAGCTCGACGTACAGCTCCAGGTGGAACAGGGCGGGAAATCATGAGCACGGCGAAGGACTGCGAGAAGTCGGTGTTGTCCGGGGCGCGACGCGCCGGCTAACACTACGCAGTCGGGGTAGTGCATGGAGGAGAGCCCTTTCAAGGGGCCGTAAGAAATCCTCTAATTCCAACTAAGGTAGCAGAGTACTTCAGACGGAAAGGAAAATAAACGAGCCGCTGTTTGTTAACGGGAGACTGGGGGGGGGGGTCTAAAAAGAATGGATCATGATCCGGTCCGCTCGTCTTTCGCGCCCGATTCGGTATGTAGTCGCAACAATCACCACGGCAAATCACTTAAGCTCTCATTGCCACAACTAGTAGAATACTATCTCGAAAGGACGAAAAATACTTTATTTAGAAGAAGCAGTATCAGTGCGGCCCACCACTTTTCAACGTGCTAAAGCCATCCTTTCTAGGCGAAATCGTCAACGGGCCGAGCAGACGGAAAGCGAGGGGTGGGGGAGTGCCGCAGCCGCCCCAGCCGAAGCGAGAGCCGAGCGGCGCCCGAGCGGCCGGTGAACTGCGTGGGTTTCGAAGTCGAGCGGCGAACTGCGTGTCTTTCGGATCGCGCGGCTGAACTGCGTTAGTCTTGGATCGGGCGGCTGAACTGCGTGCCTTTCGGAATGCGCGGCTGAACTGCGTGCCTTTTAGTCTAAGGTATCGTAATGAGTAATAGAGTAACCAAGATCTGAACTCACTCGCTTTCCATCTGCATCTTTCTGATACAGCTCTTGGAAGTCTTGCTATGATGTCAGGCGGTTTTACATTTTTCATAAAATTGTCAATTTCATCAATCCTATCTTCAATATACCAAGGACCAGGTGTTTCCACCCACAAAAACAGAAAAGAACGTGCATTTCCTAGGCAAACTGAATGCATATATTCTGCCACTAAACAAGTACTCAAATCCAACCTTGGCACAGCTGATAGGACAGAAGGGCCTTGAACACGTTTAACAGAAGTGCCATCAAGATGGGCGTGCCTGGCCTGGTCAGGACCCCTCACATGGGTAATTCTACCAAAATGGCACGGGTCGGTGTCCGCGAAAAAGTTTCTCGTTTATCCCAAATATATTGTTTGTCAAGCTTCGCCGAGGTGGTTTTCGCGCTTCAGATGATTACTTGTGCTCTATTTTAACTATTTTAATCAACAACAGCTACGGGGCATTAGTATTTAATCAATAATTCGCTATAACCTCACGTTGTCCCCCTTCGTCACACCCTAACCTAATTTCAGCGTTTTCTTCAATACCAAATGATGCCAAGGGTATTTTACTGTTCGAGATGTTTACTTTCGTGCCATTTTCACTATTTCAATCAACAACAGCTACACACTATAAGTATTTCGGCCAAAAATGTCAAATATTGTCCCCTTTGTCACGCTGTCCTGGGCGTTCGGCGTGACAAAGGGGACTATTTGATAATTTTTTTTGGCCAAAATACTAATAGTGAGTGGCTGTTGTTGATTGAAATATTGAAAATGACATAAAAGTAAACATCTCGAAAAGTGAAGTACCCTTGGCATCATTTGGTATTGAAGAAAACACTGCACTTAGGTTAGGGTGTGACAAAGGGGACAAAAGTGTGATTATAGTTAATTATTGATGAAATACTAATGCTCCGTAGCTGTTGTTGATTAAAATAGTTAAAATAGAGCATAAGTAATCATCTGAAGCGCGAAAACCACCTCGGCGAAGCTTGACAAACAATATATTTGAGAAAAACGAGAAACGTTTTCGCGGACACCGACCCGTGCCATTTTGGTGGAATTACCCACATATCCTATCTGTTGCCGGCGTTGGATGGTTTTATCAGAAGCCTGAATAACAACAACAAAATATTTATTATTCTTATTCTCCTATATGTTGCTAAATTTGGTGTTCAACTGGAGATTGTTGTTACCTGAGAGGTTAGCATTCCGGAAGGCAAACACTTCCCATCTACGCCTCTTAGTAGGCCTTTCTGATGAAGGTGATGCTGCTGGAGGTGATGTTGATGAACTTGAGATGACACTTCTATCTGGAGAGGTGAAGTTTGGTGAAGAAGGTGGTGAACAGTGCATGACGATAACTGCTGACAAGTGAAGACCTGAAACACATGCAATGTTTATACTAACATTGAAAACATAACCTATACCGTGGTGGACTTCGGCCCTTGACTGTTGTTGAAATGAACAAAGACATTGTTTGGACAAAAAAAGTTGTGATGCATAGTAATTACCTTGAGCTATGTTACGTTTCCATTATGCTGATCGCGAATAATGTTTCTTCGGCGTCTTGGTGGTCTATGACGTTCTGCTTGCTTGGCTTCTGCTGCAAAGATTGTTCTTGTCTGCTGCTCCCCTCCCCACCGCCTTCCCGCCTCACGCACCGCCATTAGGTTCGGTGGTACCAACAGTGTAAATTGGCATAGAATGTTCGTGTGTACTGGAAAATTAGTTTTATTATGACCTTGTACAAAATAAAATACATGTAACTATAACAACATAATAAATTTTAGAATCCCGAGCAAAATTGACGGTTTTTTAGATTATTATTTTTAACTTTCCTATGATCAGTGTTGGTGTCAATGACTATTGACAAGGAGATAAAACCAAGGATCAGCTGAGCCTACGCCAAACAGCTCCATCAGCTGATCACATTGCGGTTGTTTCGGCGTCCAAGGTTAGGTCTGCCATAGTCAAATTGACAGGTGAAGCGTCAGTGACTGATAACATCATCATGCCATCTAATCTACCAGAATATTTCGTCCTCCTGGGAAACGAAGAACAGTGCTGCACTGTGCCACAAGCTGATGTACTTTGTGACGAATCGGTAGAAGTTGGTGACGAAGTGCAATTCTTTTGGACGAGGAAATATGAACTTCTCGGCGAAGTCTGCTTCTTCTCAGGTTAGTAGAGGTTAAGATACCTTGTTCGTTTCCGCGTGTTAGGCTGTCGGGATCCAAAGCGGCCACATGCTTGAATCGTTTGTGAGGTTATGCCGGTCGTGAAGTTAGCTCTGGCTGACATATTGTAAATGGGAATTGTTTTATGTTACTGGCGATGTTGTGTGAGCAAGTAGTAAGTTATCGCGGTGGATTAAATTTAACACTCTTTGGTTTCCCCCATGTTAGTTGACATCTGTCCTATTGTTCTAGCTGACTTTGACGAGTGTGACAAAGTGGCCAAGCAACTTACGAATGATCTTAAGGAAAGGCAGCGTAATAGGTCGTCACTAAGTTCGACTCCACCGGTAAGGAGGTCAAAGATAGCGTTTCTGAAGTCTTTGAAGTCGTATAGAAAAGCTGTCAATGTGATCAAACCACAATTTGAAGATAAAAAGGTAAGGATTGCAATTTACTTGTTTTTTCAGCATATACTCCTTTATATGCATGCAGAGCTTGAGAAAAATGGTAACAAACAGGCCCGCCCTTCCGCCAAACGGAGTTGTCAGCTCTACTTCACTGCGCCGGCAACTCCGTTCGGCAGGGGCCGGGCCTGCTTAGCCTGCCGGCGGCCGACCATTTCAGTCTTGCGATTTACTGAAGTGCATCATCAAATAATAATGTGACCGGTAAATCATTTTGCATATTTGAGTTACCTAAAGCGTCCAGCGGGGGGCCTGCGGCCCTAGAAATTTGATCCTTGGACATGACAAAAGACTGTAACGGGGCAACACCGTGACTTCACCCCACCCTTCTGCTTGGCTTACAAAAAATTAACCCACGCAGTTTTTAGATTGTATATTGTTTGTCAAACAGTCTTAAAACTTGACTTTTTGCCATTGTTTTCAATATATCCACCTCTAGGGCCGAAACAGTGAAAGATACGGCAAATCCGAGGGTTCTTCCTGATTTAGAATGTGTTGTTTTTTTTTGGGGGGGGGGGTACTCCCTCTGACATTTTACGATTGGAGGCCTCCTTGTACGTCTTTATGTGCAACGTAGTTATTTTCGCCGTATTTTCGTCGAAAAAAGCACTCTTGCGCCCAAACGGTGCAAGATAGAGTCAAACGGACAAAATTTGCGCCCTTAGGGCTCTACTTTCACGAGTTACCCCTTAGGAGACCATAAAAAAATATTTTTTCCTACTTTTTGGACCAACCCCTATTTCCTATTTCTTTGTTACCCCCTTTCACCCCTTTAGGGGTGGTTGCCAGGATTTGCACCAGGCGTTTCGTTGTCCAGGAGTGACCCCTAAGATACCATGAAAATTGTAGACCTCTAGCTCATCTCCTTCCTCTTACACGGACGACGGACAGACAGACAGACACACACGAGAGCGGTTGCATAAGCCCGCTTTAATGCTTTTTTAAAAGCAGAAGGGCGGGCTAAAAACTGTGGTTTTAACACCTCTCTTCTCTCGCTCGGTCAGGTAGGCCTGCAGTAGGTGGATGAGACGGGCAGGGAACTTCATGACCGCCATCTTGTACAGGAGGCCCTCGGTCCACACCGTGTCGAAGGCGGCGAAGGCGTCCAGGAACACGGCCGCGGTGTGCATCCCCCGGTTGAACCCGTCCGTGATGTAACACTTCTACATCCTACCGGAGTGACGCTCCACAGTCTGAAAATCGTTACCAACCTACGAAACTAAAATCATGCAAAAACTAATACCAACATACGAATAAATCTTAACAACTACTAAAAGGCAATCTTAACAAAATAATAGTGAATTAATGACATACTAACAGTTGATAATTCCAACACTATATTAGCCTGTTGTGCCGGCACAGCCAGTCCCACCCGCCCCGCCAGCTTCGCCCAGACAACCACGCGTGACATTTTATTATTGCCTTTGATTTCCTGATGTTTAAATAGTGGTTGTCTGTTCCGGAAGGTAACAGTTTTCCCCTTTGCTTTGTTACAAATTGCTTGCTGATTCAGGTGTTCCAGTTTTGATGAAGATTGCTGATGGACCTTTCAGTTTTTA